GTGCAACAGGCAGATTTAGACTCCAATTCAAATTCTTCTCTTTTGACATCCGACTGAAATTTGAATATTAAAATTCAACAGCCTGTGTTCAGTTAGTTGACTTCAGGTTCTTTGACAGGCAGCACGTACTTTGTCACACTGAGATTGTTGCTCATCGGCCCTTTTGGTTTCCTGTTACATCGTGTTGCAGCATGACAGACATTTTCCTTACCTTCTTTTCTTAATGAATATGAAGTCTTTAACACACTGTGTGCAGTAAGATGCTTGATGCTACCCTACATAAACCAACAACAAAGCACAGAGATAAACACACAGCGCAGGGACTCGAACACCCACGAGAGCTGTTAGGTGGCTCAAACCAGGAAAACAAACCAACTACCACAGGAGAAGAATCCTGAAAAGGCAGATTAAACAAACAATACAAAATGCAGCTATAGCTCACACAGATATTTTAAGCCAACCCTTGCATGCCTTTTATAATGACAAAGGGCTATATAACCAGAGTATCTTTAAATTTAATTCAACGTTATCTTCTCTCAGAGGAGCATTTGTGAGATTTTCTTCATCTCTTCTCTCACTGACCGAAGAGTTGGACAGAAACTGGTTTTACACCACGGTGACAGACACAAATCAAATGTCTGCGTCTGAATGAGCTCTGTGTGTGTGTGTGGTGTGTGTGTGTGTGTGTGTGTGTGTTGTTGGAAATTCAGTGAGTGTATGTCTTTTTGGCTTTATGTGTCATGACCATCTGTGAGATGGGAGACCAAGAAAAAATGCTGCCAGTGTGACACAGCAGAAGAGAGAAAGATGAAGTGATTGGCATAAAGATGTGGAAGACAGAAAGATGGAGGGAAGAGCTTAAGAGGGAGAAAGCAGAAGAGAGGGAGAAAAAATACCCAGAGCCCAGAAAGAGAAATCTTTTTGCTTAAAAAAAATAAAAAGCTGAAAATTGTCACATTTGAAAAGCTGGAACCAAATCAATTTCTTCCATTAATCTATTAATGGACTATAAATTTCTCTCTCTCTCACTCACTCACAAAAAATCCCAAAATGTCAAACATGTTTAAGATCACTGACCTGCTGACGGGTCAGTTATTACACTGTTTCTAATATCTGAGCTGTAGCCGCTACACTTCAGTGTGTGTGTGGTTTCTATTTGTGTGTATGCACAGTTTTAATCAATCGTGTTTTTTTGTTTAGAGGAGAGGTAGATACAGGCTGAGGCCATTTTCACTAAGAGGTTTTCAAAGCTGTTCATGTGATGTGAGTTATAAAAATAGCTCTCCAACATCTGCTCTGTACTTACTCTTTTAAATCATGTTTCAATCAGCAATAAGTCATATTTATAGCAATCATTTGTTGATAAATCGTGCATACTGGTCCTTAAAGCACGACATTGTTCTCATCATCGCCTAATGCCTTCTGTCTTGATGCGATCTGTGATGGACTGCAATTCCCATGAATCACAGGGTGTTTTTCAGGCTGCACAGATGCAGCTGGAGCACTGCACTTTCTCTCCCATTACGTTTCTCCAATTCGCCCTCTGTGTTTCCTTTTTTTATGATGTGAAGTTTTCTATTTCTTGTTTCTGTGTCTGCCTTCCCCTCATTTGCCCATCCGTCCCCTTCTCCTAACCTGTCTGTTGGTTCAAAGAACTGTAAAATGATACATTTCTGCAGTTAAAACAAGTAAAAGTGGAGCGTACAACTGCAGTCATAAAACAAATATTTGGCGTTTACAAGCATAGCAGGAAGAATTACTCGCTGATTTTGTTTGCAGCATTAACTCTTCATGAGTGTGTTGAGCTTGTAGAAGCATACAAAGGCATGGGACTTGAAACAGAGTTTAATTTTTAATAGAATATGAACATTTTCAACATATTAAATCTGTCGAGAAAGAAAGTAGTACATTTCCTAAAGGATGCAGGGCATCTCTTTTATTTTGGTCTCTCAACACAGCAGCAAACTATATTCAACAGGCTGACAGCAATATTTGTCTTGTAGGTTTTCATAAGCTGCTTGTTCAGCCAGCTGTCTGTCGTTTAAATGGTCTTCTTATAAACTGATTGTTAATTGAGAACAGCTGCTCAAACTATTGTACTTATCAAAAGCCTTTTGGTTGCCTTTCAGCAGGTTGTAGTAAATTTGAGTTGTTGAGCTAAATACTAATAATTTAGATGGAATGAGATTATATTAAAGCTTTACTATTAGCTTAGACTTAAATGATGAATTCAGGTGCTCATTATTATCTGATGTGCTTCAAATAGACCTTAGACACAGAGGATTTATCAAACAAATACTTGCTAATATAGGCTTTTATTGTGAAGGACATTTTGACATATAGTAAAAGCACAGGTGTAAATGATGAATTTAACAATGGCTGAATTCCATTTAGCTGCTTCAGTTTTCAGTGTGCACGCTCATGTTTTTCTGGAACACTGTTAATCTAATTAGTAACACATTGTCCTGCTATGACATGATGACTCTCTGGCATAACTTACTGGCTAACTAACTTAGTTACACCTGTGCTTTACGGCTATGACCCACTTGCTATGACAATGGTCACACGTGTGTTAATAGATGTCGGTGACTATTGTCTGCCGAGATGAACGCACACAGGCAAACCGCACACACTTTGCTATTGGTTGATGGAGGCTGCCACTTTATCGGTCAGAATTCACCAAAGTGGAGATCTCTGTACAAAGTGAAGAAGCACATTTGCGCACGTGAGACCGTAACCTTAAAAATTGCAGAAAGATCTGTAGGATGTGATGGGAATTTTGTTCCACAGAGAGACTGGATCATATATTTAACACAGCTTTTGGCCTCATTGAAAAGTCAGATGATGAAACCATGAATTTTTAGGGCTTCCCAGTCATGACTGTCTTCTATCAAGGCTGCAGGCATCATCTATAAAGTGCTTATGGAAGTGGTGCTGTGTGTGTGCAGTATTAAGGTACAGATCCCCTGACCATTCTCAATGTCTTTGTGCACTTTCCCAGTTCTACTTTGCATATTTGTTGCTGCACATGAACACAGATGCTTTCAGGAGGTCTTTTCTCATGAGACTCAGAGTTTGTATCTATATGTAACTGAGGCCCTGAAGTGTGAAGCAGCCAGGCATGTACAGCTTGATGTGACTCAGAAGTGACCAGGGGACATGGCGAACATGATCAACTTTATCTGAGAGACAGAAATACACACCGTGGCTGACTTCATTAATGTCTGTCAGTGCTTAAAGGTCTTGTAATCGGTGATATTATACTTGCTGCAGCCTACAAAATTTGGCAAAATCCCACCACAAATGTGAGTATACTTGATGCATTACTGACACTCAAAAGCAGTGAAAACACATGGAAATTGAAGAAGTGAAGAGGCTCCTCTGGTTAATAATCTACTTGATCAGCCGTAAAAAGGTGAAAGATTCTGTACCCAGCTCAAAATGCAGAGCCGTGAAACATTTTAGCTTGAAGAGTTGATTGTAAAACGTCAGACAAAACAGCCCAAAGAAGCAAAAGTCTGACGCCAATTTGGAGCTTTATTTTACCTGAAAATGTGTCCCATTTTCCCTAAGAACCTGTCAAACTGTATTTCTGCAGCGAGCATACTGCCAGCTTTGGTTTTCATCCTACACTGAGCATTACCATCTGACTGCGCACACACACAGCTGTCGTGAACACTTACAGAAATTGATTTTATGTAGGATTTTTTTATAGTAGTTGTTGTGGGTGCTCGATGGTCTAATCTCTTTTTCAGTCACTGAAAAATGGGCATAGTTTTAGAACAGATTGACGCACTGTCCACATCAGATGAATGGAAAGGCTGGCACAGAGTGAAAGGGTGGGTGAGAGTCATAGAAAACAACAGCAGTTATTATGCTACTAGAAATGCGAAGGCCTAAAAAGCGTAAAAATCCCTTTATTTTTATTTATTTATTTTTTTTTTTTTACTCTTTCCCAGTTCACTCAGGGGTAGAAATAAACTATTGAACACTGTTTGTGGTGGTCTCTTTTGTCACACTGTCATTGGTTGTCTGGAGGCAGTAATGAAAACAGATCAATAAAGCATTTTGGAGCGGCTGAAGGTGAGCGGGAGCTACACAGCAAATAAGACAGTTGGACAATAGTTTTCTAAAAGTCAAGGGCAAAGGTCTGGACAGGGAATGAATGGTGTTAATTGCAGTGCCTGCCAGTGTATTGATCCAGTGGGTTTTAATGGTAACACAGATGGACACAAGGAGGGATGGCTCGGCCATCTGAGGGCATTGATATGGCTGTGGTCGCAATGCACTGATTAAGTTGGTTATTGATTACTGAATGCTATGAAACTTGTATGACTCGATTGATTCACTGAGTACTTTGCTCAGAAGACAGCTTTGACCATGGGCCAGTAGAAAATGACGCTGGCTGGATATCCTGTTGTCTAAATGGACTTAACCTGAGTGGCTCAACCTCAAATCTTTTTAATTAGCTGCTGAGGCAGACTCTAGTTTAAAAATAACAGTTGTAAAACACTATTATTATGAACAACTCATCAGTTTATGGATTTACTGAAGGAAGTGCTCAAACGTAGGAGCAGGCAGAACTGTATTTGTCGTGTGTGAGTCATGCATCTAATGCTTTGTGAGCTCGCACATTGTCTTTACTTTCATTTTATATATTATAAGGAGGTCATCATCAATATTGATTATCACAAAAAGAAACAAGCTTCTATAATGTTTTTTTTTCAAATTACAAAAAAAAGGGTCAAAAGAGTTCAAGTCAAGTGAAACATGTATATTAACATTAAGTTAATGACAAAAGATTAGTTGATTTCACATCTCCACAGTATTGTACATTTTACAGCCGAAATGCTCTAATTAATATCTTTAAAGAATAACCAATTCCTCTGTTTTGAATAAGACGTCTCTCAGCTGCACTCCTGTTTACTTTGAGATTAAATTGTGTGTATTGATACAAATGCGTGTGTGTGTGTCTAACTGTTTGTTTGTGTTTGCTTCAG